CTTTTGCGGCACCAAATTTAATAGTCAATCAACAATTATTTCTTATATTATAAACCCCAGCTTTCAAAATGTGTGTGTATATATATATATATATATATATATATATATATATATATATATTTATATACAATATATACTTATATTGTCAATGATTGTGACACTATATAGTGAGAATGTGCCAGTGTTCCAGTCTGTCTTCATGAAAAAAAAAAAAATCACCTTTAGTACAGGTCTCTCTATCTGTAACAGCTTTGTGTTGGGAGACAGGGCTGTGTAGTCTGCTACTGAGACAGAGCCTTGGAAAAAAACTACAAGTTACAAAAAACTCACTTTGTAGTTTGTACTATCAGTAGTGCTATTGTGTTAAAAGGTCAATAGCATGTAGATGTTTTCAGACAAGCTACCAGGTTAAAACTGCACTGTTTTTATTGGGATATTCATTTAAATTTCCTGTCTAGCCCTGTATTCTTATAACGCCTGTCCAGTCGTTTCTCCTTTGAGTCACTGACTATGAATCATAACATACCACGTAATCCACAGCTGTAAAGAGGCAACGTAAAACTTTATATGCAATCAAGCAGACATACAGTGTCTACATTATTTTGAAGGATAAAGGTGCATTCAGCAACTTACAGTACATGAATTTATCCTGGAACCCTTACATATACACAGACATACGAACTGGTTGCCATAGCAAATAAGAAAGAAATTGTATCCTTATTATGAATTATCAGACTATATATTTTTTATTTAATTGTGCACTGGTATAGCCTTGGGCTCTTCTCGGGAATCCCAAAAGAGACTTTAAAACCTTATGACATTTATTACATTCTATTTATATAGAAAGAGTATAGTACCAATATGTATTTTTACATCCATATTATTAAAGGAACATTCCAAACACATAAACCTCTATAGAAATCAGCCTTTTTATAAATCAATGTATTTAACCTTCCCTGGCCGTCAATTAAACAGGTGATAGGCGTTACATCCTCCAAGTAAGTGGTCGTTCAGCTAAATTACATATCTCCGAAGCACCGTAAAGACGTATACCCGAGAAAACAACCAGCACTAAGCCTGAACTTTTGGTATCTGGAGTTCTGCCAGTGGCAATAAAATATGACCGATGGAGAAAAAAGGTGATTGATGGCTAGTGGACGGTGAATACATGTTGTTTTTATTCAGAGATCAAGAGAGAAGTGACCAAAAAGGGAAAAAAAATAAACATAGCAGTATGTTTCCCCAAATAGTTTTTCATGAACAAGTGGCGGACATCCCTAATAAAATTCCTTTTTCAGGAAAAAGTATGCAGCAGATTCCACTGTGCACAAATCTACCTGCCACAGATTGTAAAAAACATGCAAATAAAATGCACTATACTGTTTGGGAGTACATCTACTAAATTGTTTGATTTTTATTTATTTTTTATGGAGTATTCCTTTAAAGTTGAATTTTCTTTTTATTTATTTTTTACTTTCTTTGCTATACAAAATAAAATGTAAACTCCATATATACAGCTTGGAGTATAGAGGTTATAGTGCACATGTCCAGATCACAGGTGCAGTAGGTGCAATTCTATAATTTGCCATTAGTCTGATTTCCTGACAATTATCTACATCCGTCAAACTCCAATTTAAAATCAATTGCACACACTATTCATTTATAATTCTATTGTTTATTACAATGTGTAACTATGTGTAATTATACAGTGTATGTCTCCTATTATATGCGTACCATTATATTAGCATGTGCTCTCTATGACACACTTGAAGATAAGAGCAATCTCAATGTATCCATCCTGAAATATTTTATGAATTTATAAATACTGTACTTTAAAAACTCCAGTCCAATGTTTAAGATTTTTAATTGACATTTACCAGTTACTGCCAGTTACCAGTAGTGATGCACCGAATGGTTCGCTGGCGAACAGTTACCGGCGAACATAGCGTGTTCGCGTCTGCCGCGGACGGCAAACACATGCGCGGTTCGATCCGCCCCCTATTCGTCATCATTGAGTAAACTTTGACCCTGTACCTCACAGTCAGCAGACACATTCCAGCCAATTAGCAGCACACCCTCCCTAGCAGACCCTCCCACCTACTGGACACCATCCATTTTAGATTCATTCTCAAGCTGCATGCTTAGTGAGAGGAGGGAAAGTGTAGCTGCTGTTGATTAGATAGGGAAATGCATAGCTAAGTTAGGGTATACAGTGTCCACTACAGTCCTGAAGGACTCATCTGATCTCTGCTGTAAGGACAGCACCCCAAAAAGCCATTTTTAGGGCTAGAACATCAGTCTTTTTTTGTTTGTTTTTTCTGTGTAATGTAATTGCAGTTAGTTGTCTGCCACTGCTGCCAGCTTCTGTGTCAGGCTCACAGTGGATACTGTGCCCAGTGCCACCACTCACTCACTGGTGTCACAATAGCTTGCATTTAAAAACAAAAAACTTTTTTCACTGTTATAGATTGAATAGCAGTTAGTTGTCTGCCACTGCTGCTAGCTTCTGTGTGAGGCTCACAGTGGATACTGTGCCCATTTGCCCAGTCAGTGCCACCACTCATATCTGGTGTCACAATAGCTTGCATTTAAAAACAAAAAAACTTTTTTCACTGTTCTAGATTGAATAGCAGTCAGTGTCCTTAAAGCGGGTGTGTCAGGCTCACAGTGGATACTGTGCCCATTTGCCCAGTGCCACGACTCATATCTGGTGTCACAATAGCTTAAGCTTGACATTTAAAAAGAAAAACATTTTTTTTCACTGTAATAGATTGAATAGCAGTTAGTTGTCTGCAAGCGTCTGGGTGTCAGGCCTCCTTCAGCGTGTGCTCTGCAGACCTCTGCCCGTGTACTTTGCCACTCATATCTGGTGTCTCTATAGCGTGCTTTTACAAAGAAAAAAAGTTTTTCAGTGTAAGCTAATAGCAGTCAGTGTCCTTAAAGCGGGTGTCAGGCCTCCTTCAGCGTGTGCTCTGCAGACCTCTGCCAGTGTACTTTGCCACTCATATCTGGTGTCTCTATAGCGTTCTTTTACAAAGAAAAAAAGTTTTTCAGTGTAAGCTAATAGCAGTCAGTGTCCTTAAAGCGGGTGTCAGGCCTCGTTCAGCGTGTGATCAGCAGACCTCTGCCCGTGTACTTTGCCACTCATATCTGGTGTCTCTATAGCGTGCTTTTACAAAGAAAAAAAGTTTTTCAGTTTAAGCTAATAGGAAATAATGGCATGTCTGGCACACAGTGTTGGGGCAAGGGTCCATCTGACCACTGATACCTGGTCTGCAAAGCATGGTCAGGGCAGGTATATCACCTACACTGCGCATTGGGCAAACCTGCTGATGGCTGCCAAGCATGGAATGCGTGGCTCTGCAGAGGAGTTGGTGACACCGCCATGACTTGCAGGCAGGCCTGCTGCTACCTCCTCTACTCCTCCTACTCCATCCTCTTCCATAACCTCCTCAGCTGAGTCGTCTTCTGCTGCTGCGTCTTGCTCCACATCAACGGATAGGGGACGTAACAGGGATTAAACTGATAAGAATAGTACTACTTAACACACCACTCCTATCTGGTGGCACATTAGATTGCACGCGCAGTGCCCCAAATTTGTTGTGATCTGTGAGTAAGGTAAGCGGTTGTCCATACAAGTAAGGTTGCAGCTTTTTGAGGGCCCACACCACCGCCAGGCACTCCTTTTCAATGGCAGTGTATCTACTTCCCTGGGCAAAAGTTTCCGGCTTAGATAAGCCCGGGTTGCTCGCCACCATCTGCTCCGACTTGGTTCAGTACTGCTCCCAATCCAAACATAGAAGCGTCTGTATGGACGAGAAAGCGTTTAGTTGGATCAGGAGCAGAAACTACAGGTGATTTAATGAGCGTCGTCTTGAGCTGTTGGAAGGCCTGTTCACACTCTGGGGCCTATACTACTATCTTTGGGAGGTTTTTACGCGTTCCTATATGGCACTTACTGGGCTTTAGGGTCAGTCCGGCCTCCCTAATCCGGTCTAGTACGGCTCCTATGTGGGTCAGGTGTTCGGGCCAGGAGCAGCTAAAAATGGCTATATCATCCAAGTAGGCGCAGGCATACTCCTGAAACCCATCCAGTAGCCGATCTACCATCCTCTGAAAGTTAGCGGGGCATTCTTCATCCCGAATGGCATGACCTTAAACTGATACAGGCCAAACGAGGTGACAAATGCCGACTTGTGGATGGCGTCCTCGGCTAATGGAATTTGCCAGTACCCCTTGCACAGATCTATTGTGGTGAGGTACTGGCCTCTGGCTATTTTGTCTAGGAGCTCGTCTATCCGGGGCATAGACGAGGCGTCTGAGGTTGTTTTATCGTTTAGCCTCCGGTAGTCTACACAGAAACGGGTCGTGCCATCCAGTTTCGGTACTAGTACTACCAGGGAGGCCCAGGGGCTATCAGAGTGTTCTATCACCCCTAACTGCATCATTTCCTCAATTTCTTTCTGAATATTTTCTTTAACTGCTTCGGGTATGCGATAGGCGGTTTGGCGAAGGGGGGTCTGGTCTAGGGTTTCAACTTTGTGAGTGGTTAGCGGACTGTACCCAGGTAGGTTGGAAAACGTGGCCCCCTTGTCCTGGATTAGTCTT